CCCGTGTCCATTCAACACGGGGAATGTAGGAGATATATCGTTTTGCGCGAGTGGTCGCTGTGTACGATCGGCACGGCCATTGCCGGTTCAGGTCCCACCGCCGATGCCACTGACGCCGCATATTTTTTTTAACCGCTGCTGGGTGCGCACCGGCTTGCTCTACAGCAGTTTGGGTCTGACGACCCTTCGTGAATGTCCTTCTGAACCATGTCCCTTTCCACCCCCGCCGTCATGACGACATCATCGTCAGTTACATCCCCTCCCCGAACATCAATCTATTGATCTGCCGCGACGGCCGAGCCTGGCGGGTAGATCGATCTCTGCGGTGAGGTGGCGCGGCGCACACATTCACAGAACACTCTTCGTTGGGGCCTCTGGTCAGTCGGTCGTTGGCGCAGTAATGCCCAAAACTCTTGTAAGCTTGCAGCAACGGCCCGCCCCCTGTTTCGAAACAATCAGGAGTTTGTTTTTCTTCTTTGCGCAGCAGCTCTCCCGCTCTCTTTCGTCCTTACAGGAGGCGGGGGAACCGACAAGAAATATCCAGGGATTCGTGTGGTTTATGGTGCGTACTTTTCGTGAGCATCGAACTCTCGATGTCCTCCCTAAATACTAGAATACTGGGCTCCGTTACGACCACCCCACCGCTGCCCTGTGTTTCATACTTCTACGAAGTACCATATTTCTCACGTGGCGGCGTGGTCTTTCGCTCCGCTCGGAAGAAACTACATGTGGAAGTACGAACCACAGGGGCAGCGGTACGGTGGTCGTAACGGCGTTAGACTCATCGTTTTGTTACATTGTAGTATACCCCGTTGAGACGGCCCCGTCTTGATTTGCCCCAGCCATTCGTGTGCCAACATGAAGCGCGAATTCTCGCTGATCACCGCGTAGCTATGTAACGCGTACCGTATGGAAGTAAAATTGAGCGTAAATGATCAGAAAAACACGCCACTCGGATCACGGCGGAGCCGGTATGCCATACATAAGGGAAGGGATTGCTGTACCCTTCTCGCGATAAAAATACCTCAGGCATGAACCGCAGGAGGGGGTCCAACCCCCCCCTCCTATGTGACCCCGGTTGGGTCGTCTAGCCAGTAGAAGTGGAGGATAGGGGCCAGAGGGGCAGACGGCAGAGTCCAATGATGGGAGAGTAACAAAAAAAAAACAAACATACCACTGCTGTCATCTGGCACTGCCCGCGACAGCCTCAGCGAGATAGAAATTTTGGGGAGCGAGCTCGGGTTGAATGTCCAGGCTGTATCTTGTTGTGCCGATCACAGGAGTTTTTTTTTTGTGTGTGTGTGTGTGTGCTCGTGTGTGTACTCGTATTCTACCCTTGCCCAGATACGCAGATACCGATCTATCCAATCAAGTCGTTCCCGTCTCCTGTCCCTGCTACAAATCTTGTCTCCGCCCACGGTGTAGATATCGACCACGTTGCTGAGATGCATCTGCATATCTGTATCTCCCCGGCGAAACGCAGCCAATGCGACGAATCTGTGCGCGATAATTCTGCGGCAAAAAGCTTGTGACTACGGAAGGCGCCCGCGTCAGTTGGACCAGGACGGACATAGGGAGGTACTGAGCGGAGACCGTAACCGCTTTTAATGTGAAGACATCAACAAACAATGGGTATCGGGTTGAAAAGTTTCGGGCATCTTGCACAGTCGGGAGATGCGAAATCGCCTTAATCTCCTCTGGTGACTTCTGGGAGCGCGGAGGAACAACAGTCATTTTCTGTTGATACTGCTGTGTACCCCAACTCCCCCCGGCTACGCGAGAAAAAGAGGCCTTGTGTTTTCTCGCAATTTTGCGTCCTTGCTAGTGTTTTTTTTCTGTCGCGTCCTTCATGATCTTGAGAACAACGCAATGAGCAAAAATCGTTACTGGATATTTAATGCTTAACCAGCAGGGGAATACGACAGCAGCAGCAGGCCGGAATGAGCTCGGGACAGGCGGGGGGGGGTCCCATCCTCCCCAATGTCGATGGTAGCGGGGCAGCGGGAGGGGCGATGGAACACATGAACATTGACGGCGCCATGGCGGCATCATCGGGAGGGGCGGCGGGGTCGGGGCCTGCGAGGGG